TATATATATATATATATATGTATATGTATTTTTTTTTTTTTTGGCTGGGCCTGGTGGCTCACTCTGGTAATCCCAGCACTTTGGGAGGCTGAGGCAGGCAGATCACCTGAGGTCAAGAGTTTGAGACCAGCCTGGCCAACATGGGGAAACCCCTTCTCTACTAAAAATACAAAAATAAGCCGGGTGTGGTGATGTGTGCCTGTAATCCCAGCTACTCAGGAGGCTGAAGCAGGAGAATCGCTCCAATCTGGGAGGCGGAGGTTCCAGTGAGCTGTGATGATGCCACTGCCCTCCAGCCTGGGCAGCAGAACAAGACTTTGCCTCAAGAAAAAAAAAAAGATTTTTTTTTTCTGGTGAGGTACTTGTTAAAGGAAAATTAAAACTCAAGACTCCAAATCACTATGCCAAAAGGAAATAATTTAGCTGAAAGCTGAGCCATGCAAGAAGCTGCCTCTTCTTTTGTTCCTAAGCAGATAGCTACAGATAAAAAGTTAAATATTTCCACAGGTAGCTACTCTTATGTTCACCTTCTCTCATGTAAAGTGCCAATTTACTGAGCACAAGACAAATACATAATTGACTATTTCCCTACTTGCTCCTCTTCTCTTGTAACATATGTATTCAATAATGTTACCAACCCCTTCCTCTTTCCCCTCCAGCCTGCTTTTCCCCTTTAAATACTGAAGCCCTCAAAATCATTTTTAGAGAAAGGCACAGACCTGTCTCCCAGGCCATCCTTAACCTTGGCAAAATAAACTTCTAAACTGATTGAGACCTGTCTTAGATACTTTTTGGTTTATATACTCATGAAGGAGATTTTGTTTTTTTAAAAGGTCAAAAGTTATTTTGTATCTACTCACATAGTCACCACTTCCAGTTCTCTTCTTTTTTTGGGTAGATCCAGAATTCTGTCTGGCATAGTTTTTCTTCTACCTAAAAGATTTCCTTTAACATTTCTTATAATACAAGTCTTCTGATAATGAATTCTTTCACCTTTTCTATGTCTGAAAAATTCTTCATTTTGCCTTCTTTTTTTTTCTGAATACCTTATAAAGATGTTACCCCACTTTCTTCTAGCTAACACTGTTTCCAGTGAGAAATCTGCCATATTTTGTTCCTCTATACATAATGTGTCTTTTTCATCTCCAGCTGCCTTTTTTTTTAATTAATTAATGTATTTATTTTTTAAAGACGGGGTTTCACCATGTTGGTCAGGCTGGTCTTGAACTCCCGACCTCAGGTGATCCACCCACCTTGGCCTCCAAAGTGCTTGGATTACAGGCGTGAGCCACCACGCCCAGCCTCCAGCTGCTTTAAAAAATTTATTACCGGCTTTAAATACTTTATGATGTGACTTGGTGTAATTTTCTTTGTATTTCTTACACTTAGGGTTCATTGATCACGAATCTGCAGGTTTATAGTTTTCATTAAATTTGGAGATTCGAGGGTGAGACTGTGTCTACAAAAAAATAAAAATTAAAAAAAAATTAGCCAGGCATGATAGTGCATGCCTGTAGTCCAGCTACTCAGGAGGAGGATTGCTTAAGCCCGTAAGTTTGAGGTTGCTGTGAGCTATGATCACACCACTGCACTTTAGCCTGGGCAACAGAGCAAGACCCCTTTAAAAAATTGTTTTTCTGAATTTACACTCACATATCTTCCGATGCTAAAAATTGTGATTCCTAACAATGTTAACATAATTATCATAAACATGCATATAATAATTCCAATGTAAAATACCAATATTATTACTAATAAGCCACTGAATAAATTTTAAGAGGTCTTTGGACTTTATTTCATCCTTAGAGTATATCCTGCCAAGAATGTATAGTCAAAACACCATGTTTTAAAATCTTTTGAATTAATTCTTCTTGTTACATGGATTATAATTTTAACATAATATACAGGTAAGTTTATTACCTTTTATGTTGAGGGATATTTGTATTGGATATAACATTGTAGGTTGGTAATTATTTTATTTCAGGACATTATTAGTTTAACACCTTCTGTTGGTATGGGGAGTCAGCTGTTAAATTGTTTATCTTTTAAAGATGATTTGTCCTCCTAACTGATATTAAGATTTTTCTGTTTTTCATCTTCTATAGTTGTGGAAATCTTTTTTTATTTATACTGCTTGATTATTCTGTTCTTAAATCTGTCTCAGTTGTTTCAGCCATTAACTCTTCAAATATTGTTTCTACCCCATTTTCTCTTTTCTCTTCTCTTTTGGGACATCAATTAAATATACATTAGACAGTTTCATTCTTTCCTCTGTTAACCTCTCTCTTCTGTATTTTCCCTGACTTGTCTCTCTTTGCTTTATTTTTGCTAAGTTCTTGCTTTTTTTTTTTTTGAGACAGAATCTTGCTCTGTTGCCAGGCTGGCGACTCTAAAATTCTGTATCTATATCTCTGATCATTTCCAAATCCCAGTCCAAATTTCTGTATAGCTGCTTACTATGTTCAAAGGATGTCTTGTGGCACCATAAACAACATGTTTAATGTCAAACTCATCTTCTTTATCCCCCAAATCTGCTACTAATGTTTTGTATCTTGCTGACAGTATTGTTATTCTGTCAGTTAACCATGGAAATCTTTTTTAATAGCTCTATTGAGATGTAATTCACATCGCATACAATTCACTCATTTTAAATGTATAACAAAATAGGTTTTAGTATATTCAAAGGGTTGTACAATCACCACCACCATCAATTTTAGAACATTTTCATTACTCTGAAAAGAAGCCCCTCTAGGCAGAGCACAATGTCTCATGCCTGTGATCCCAGCTGAGGTTGGTGGATCACATGAGTCCAGGAGTTTGAGACCAGCCTGGGCAACACAGTGAAACTCTGTCTCTACCAAAAATACAAAAATTAGCTGGGCGTGGTGGCATGCGCCTGTGGTCTCTCAGGAGGCTGAGATGGAAGGATGGTTTGAGTCCAGGAAGCAGAGGTTGCAGTGAGCCAAGATCATGTCAATGTACTCCGCCTGGGCAACAGACCCCAACTCTGTCAAAAAAAACAAAAAAAAAAGCCCCTCCATTTACATTCTGTCCTCTGTATTTGCCTATTCTATTCCTAGAAATCTGACATCAACCTTAGATGTTCCCTGCCCCTAATCTCTCCCTACCTTGATAATGAACTGGTTACATTTTGTTCATTATTTCAGGTGATAAGTCTGGCCTTTCCATGTCGACCACACTTTAGATTCAAGCACTCATTATTAATATTTTTTTATTTCTTTCTTTCTTCTTTTTTTTTTTTTTTTTTTTTTTTTTGAGACAGAGTCTTGCTCTGTTGCCCAAGCTGGAATGCAGTGTTGTGTTCTTGGCTCACTTCAGTCTCCACCTCCCCGGTTCAAGTGATTCTCCTGCCTCAGCCTCCCAAGTAGATGGGACTATAGGCGCCCCACCCCCCCACCTACACCTAGCTAATTTTTGTATTTTTAGTAAAGAGTGTTTCGCCAAATTGGCCAGGCTGGTCTCGAACCCCTGACCTCAAGTGATCCTCCCACCTTGGCCTCCCAAAGTGCTGGGATTACAGGTGTGAGCCACTGCACCCAGCCATCAGGCACTCATTATTTTTTAACCCAGTTCACTTACTTATTTACTTAGTATTACTAACTTCTGTCTCCCATCCATACTATATAATGCTGCTAAAGACTCCTCCCAAAACATCCAATGGTTTCTTACTATACAGAGAATAAAGTTCACAATCCGTAGTATGGCACTCAAGATCTATCATATTCAACTCCAGACTATTTTTCCAGCCTTATATCTCCCTCATGTACCATTCATTTCATGCTTCAGTCACATTGAATTATAAGAAAAATGTATGACATGTGTCACATTTTATAGTTTTCAGTTCCCTGGCAAATGTTCAAGCTTGGCTTTCACATTCAATTATATGTTTTTATACAAATCATACATATTTGTAGATGCCGAATACACATACTAAAGGCTTTTCTAAAACTGGGATATAAAAACCCATTTCAAAGGTAATTGGGTGGAATTTTTCATCAAAAGGATATGGAAACTGAAGAAATGCTGTTAAGCTGATTGGAAAAAACCTTTGGGCCGGGGCACAATGCAACTGCTGGAGTCAGTATCAGTTCTCCCAACAAGTCCATGCCAGCCACGTCATCAGGGATGAAAAGCATTACTGGATGTCCTAGCACAGGGTGAATTCTGCTGCAGTATGATTCAATTGTATCAAATTTTGGTCTACTGTCAGAAAACAGACAAGTCAAATTTAACATTTTTCCCTCTTAAGAAATTATTTAAAAGAGCATTCAAAATTTTTATAACTTCTAACATACATATAACCATATAACCTGCCATATCAGTTTTGTTGGAATAAATAACTTGTGTCTCACTCAGGAAACCACAGCAATGGAAGTAATAGAAAAACTGGCATTTCAGGGATGTTATCATGGCTCCTGCTTTTGCTGCCACTAATGGATGCTTCTTAGTTTCTCTTTAAAAAAGAAAACAATTTAGACCAGCCATGGGGGCTCACACCTGTAATCCCAGCACTTTGGGAGGCTGAGGCAGGTGATCACTTGAGGTCAGGAGTTGGAGACCAACCTGGCTGACATGATGAAACTCCATCGCTACTAAAGATACAATAGCTGGGGGTAATGGTACACTCCTGTAGTCCCAGCTACTCAGGAGGGTGAGGCAGGAGAATCGCTTGAACATGGGAAGCAGAGGTTTCAGTGAGCTGATATTGCACCACTGCACTCCAGCTGGGTGACAGAGCAAGACTTTCTCAAAAAATATTAAGAATTATTTTATTTTATTAGAAAAGAGGTTCTCACTATGTTTTCTAAGCTGGTCTTGGACTTCTGCCAATCTTTCTGCCTTGGTCTCCCAAAGTGCTGGGACTGCAGGTCTGAGACATCATGCCCAGCCTGTTTTTTATTCTCAAGTATATTTCCTCCACTAAAATTAATCTTTGGTTCTGAGCAAGTTTCCAAATTCATTTAAAGGGCAGCATTGTGTGAGAGGAGCCATGAATCACAAATGGCCTAAAGCTGGCCCCATGATACTTTGAAGTCAGCTTTCATACATGCTACACCTTCCCCTGAAGAGGTTTGAGGTTGCTGTTTGATAAGAACAATGAGAAAAAATCAGGCCATCTTTCTCTCCTACAAAGAATCTAGTAAAATTTTTTATCTGTCTACTTTCCAATAGCTCTTTTTTAAACAGAGAGAAAATAGTCAACCTGAAAGCTGATTAAGAATGAATGAATTAACTAAGAGGAAATATTAATGAACGTTTTCCTTTCTCTCTAATCAGGTCATCCAAGGAAACACATCTACAAACATTGGCTCAAAGGCTTAAACTTCTATCAGTAAAATTATGATGATGAGCTGTCTACCTGTAAGGACTGTATAATATTAGAGGATCACTAAAGAAAGATATGGAATAGGGAAATTATTACCTGTATATTAAATGACAAAAATATTCTCATCTGAGGTGTAATTTTGGGTGAGAATAAGAAAACAGACTAAAAACCAAAGGCAGTCTCTTTAACCCTTCAGAGCCTATGACTACTAGTGTTACCTCTGGGCATATAAATAGAGGCAGAAACCAATGAATAGACTAAATGAGGGCTGGATACAGTGGCTCATGCCTGTAATCTCAGCACTTTGGGAGGCCAAGGCAGGAGGACTGCTTGAGTCCATCAATTGGAGACCAGCCTAGGCAACACCCTCATCTCTACAAAAAAAAAAAAAAAATTTATTATTTATTTATTTATTTATTTATTTTTGAGACAGAGTTTTGCTCTGTCACCCAGGCTGGAGTGCAATGGCACAATCTCGGCTCACTGCAACCTCTGACTCCCAGGTTCAAGCAATTCTCCTGCCTCAGCCTCTCGAGTAGCTGGGATTACAGGCACTGCCACCAGGACCAGCTAATTTTGTATTTTTAGTAGAGGTGGGGTTTCACCATGTCGCCCAGGCTGGTCTTGAACTCCTGATCTCAGGTGATCCATCTGCCCTGGCCTCCCAAAGTGCTGGGATTACAGGTGTGTGCCACCACACCCAGCCATAAATTTTTTTTTTTAATTAGCACAGTATGGTAGCATATTCCTGTGGTCCTGGCTACTGGCTACTCAGGAAGATGAGGTGGGAAAATGACTTGAGCCCAGGAGTTCGAGGCTGCAGTGAGCTATGATGGCATCTGGATTGAACAGAGTGAGACCCTGTCTCAAAAAAAAAAAAAGAATAAATTAATTGGACTTAAGCATATGTTAGGTCTTTTCTTGATAGAATTCAGCTTCACTTTGGATTCTGTGATAGTTAAATGGCATAGGAAGGCAAGACAGAAGGGCTCTGTGTGTTCCATATTGTTTACCACCTCCTCCATGGATTTTTTACATTTATTATTATGATTTTTTGAGATGGAGTCTCGCTCTGTCACTGGAATGCAGTGGTGTGATCTAGGCTCACTACAACCTCTGCCTCTTGGGTTCAAGTGATTCTCATGCCATGGCCTCCCAAGTAGCTGGGATTACAGGCATGTGCTACCACACCCAGCTAATTTTTGTATTTTAGCAGAGACAGGGTTTGCCATGTTGGCCAGGCTGGTCTCAAACTCTTAACTTCAAGTGATCCATCTGCCTCAGCCTCCCAAAGTTCTGGAATTACAGGTGTGAGCCACTGCACCCAGCCTGATTTATTTTCTTGGAGTCTGAAGAAGATAGAGATGGGCAGAGAGGTGATTTCCAAACCTATGCAAAATGCTGATACACAAAAAAAAGTGTAAAATGAATTCCTTGGTATTTATACTCTCAATAATTCAAGTAAAGTTTTAAATTCATAGTCTTCTCTTCTCATGCCTAAATGAGACTGGAACTAGCAGGGTTTGTTTCATTTCATTTACAGAAGAAAATAAGGCCTGAAGAGAAGGTAGCACATGTCTTCAGGTCAATTAGAATAGTTTCAAGTACACAAATAAATTAAAATAGCAGTTTTCAGGCCAGGCGTGGTGGCTCAAGCCTATAATCCTAGCACTTTGGGAGGCCGAGGTGGGTGGATCACCTGAGGTCAGGAGTTCAAGACCAGCCTGGCCAACATGGTGAAACCCCATCTTTGAAAAGAAAAAAAAAAATAGCAGTTTTCAACTTCTGCTTTTCTTTTTTTTTTTTTTTTTGAGACAGAGACCCACTCTGTCACCCACGCTGGAGTGCAGTGGCACAATCTCAGCTCACTGCAACCTCCCACTCCTTGTTTCAAACAATTCTCCTGCCTGAGCCTCCTGAGTAGCTGGGATTACAGTTGACCGCCACAATGCCTGGCTAATTTTTTGTATTTTTAGTAGAGATGGGGTTTCTCCATGTTGGCCAGGCTGGTCTCGAACTCCTGACCTCAGGTGATCCACCCGCCTCGGCCTCCCAAAGTGCTGGGATTATAGGCGTAAGCCACTGCACCCAGCTGCACTTCTGCTTTTCTTATAGAGAAGTTGACACCTGGCACTTAGAAACGACAAGTGAGACAATTTCCAATTTCTACCCACATTCATACTCATGAGAGGAGAGTAAAACATGCAGAGGGACAACAATGCTTTACGCCTTCACCTCGCATAATGCTGAGAGTCTACCACAAGAGCAATTCCATTCCAAAGGTTCAAAGTGGGTTCATTCTCTACCCTGCAAAGCAAAGCAAAGCCATCTCTCAAAGATTCTAAAATCAGTCTCTGTTTGACACAAATTTTGGCCCATGACACTAACACCCCAGAGAGTACTAGAATTCAGTAACTTCATTAACCAAGGGGAAAATGGCAATCTCTAAGTTTACCCCTCTAGTGACAGGGATGAATCTACTAGAATAAGAAAATGTGGAGGTAACAGAAAATTAGTTTCAAGGTGACTTTAGGTCAAGACATCAAACTAGGAAGCTTTTGGAAATAGGACAATATCTGAGAAAAATTGCAGAGCCATAGCATCATCTTAAGCCACGGACTTAAGAACTTACCCAAAGAACTCTGTGGAGAGGATTCCATTTACCTTTACAGTGAAATTAAATCTGATCTGCAAAACAATAAATTAGGCGTGAGATTTGGCATGAGCCAAGATACAGATTTAAAAAAAACTTCCATACCTAATCCCTAAAGGAAAATAATGTTTTAAAACTTTTAAATTAATATTATTTTTAATTGATAAACTCTATATACATTATAGGGTACAATGTGGTGTTTTGATATATGTATACAATATGGAATGATTAAGTAGATAAGCATATCTATCATATAATTTACTAGCATTTTTTTGTGGTGAGACATTTGAAATTTACTCTATTTTGAAATATATAATACATTATTATCGACTAGAGTCACCCCCCTGTGCAGTAGATTCTAAAAACTTATTCCTCCTAACTGAAACTTTGTACCCTTTAACTAACAACTGCCTATTTCCTTCCTTAACCCACTGCCAGCCTCTGGTAACCACCATTCTATTCTCTATTTCTATGAATTTGACTTTTTCAGATTCCACGTAAAAGTGAAATAATACAGTATTTGTCTTTCTGTTGATAAGAAAATGTGGCATATATACACAATGGAATACTAGTTAGCCTTTTTTTAAATTTTTTGAGACAGGGTCTTGCTCTGTTGCCCAGGCTGGAGTGCAGTGGTGTGATCTTGTCATCCCAGGCTCAAGTGATCCTCCCACCTCAGCCTTCTGAGTAGCTGGGACCACAGGCACATGCCACCATACCTGGTTAATTTTTGCATTTTTTTATAGAGACAGGATTTCACCATATTGCTCAGCCTGGTCTTGAACTCCCAGACTCAAGTGATCCTCCTGCCTCAGCCTCCCAAAGTGCTAGGATTATAGGAATGAGCTACCACATCCAGCCTAGTCAGCCTTTAAAAAGGAGGAAATCCTGTCATTTGGGACATAGATGAGCCTGGAGGAAGAAGACTTTTTTTTTTTTTTTTTTTTTTTTTTTTTTTTTTTTTTTGAGACAGAGTTTCACTCTGTTGCCCAGACTGGAGTGCAGAGTACAATGGCGCAATCTCAGCTCAATGACTGCAACCTCCGTCTCCCGGGTTCAAGCAGTTCTCCTGCCTTAGCTTCCCGAGTAGCTGGGATTACAGGCATGCACCACCGTGCTCAGCTAATTTTTGTATTTTTAGTAGAGACCGAGTTTCACCATGTTGGCCAGGCTGGTCTTGAACTCCTGATCTCAAGTGATCCACCTGCCTTGGCCTCCCAAAGTGCTGGGATTACAGGCACGAGCCACCATGCCCAGCCAGGAAAAAGACATTCTTTATCACTTGTGTTTTCTCTAAACATACTTAATGCTTGCCTGTGTCCAAATTCTAAATCTTAAATATAGCAAGCACTATACTACAGCTCCAGGTAGTCAGAAATTATCAGGAATCCCTGCCCCTTTGCCATTCTCCCAACCTATCCCTTATCCCTTAACCTCTCTCTTTTTCTTTTTTTTTTTTTAGATAGAGTTTCACTTTGTCACCCAGGCTGGGGTGCAATGGTGCAAACACAATTCACTGAAGCCCCTTCTTCTCTTTTTTAAAGGAGCTATCCATTTTTATTTCTATTATTTTCATAAAATATTCCATGCTTTTTTTTCTTCTTCTTCCCCATCCAATTTGCCTCACTGTTCTAATTATTCTCTCCCTTCACCTGTATTTTTCTTCTGTGTAACATAAGGTAAGAAGTGTCTCTAGAACCAGACTGCCTGAGTTCAGATCCTGATTCTCCAAGTTATTTACTCGCTGTACCATAGTTTTCTCAGCTACAAGATGGAAACGATGATGATAAAACTTGTTTCACAAGGGGTGTTGTAAGAGTTAAGTGAGTGAGTGAACAAAGGGCACTTAGAACAGTGACTGAAACAATAGGCAAAAAGTAGGAAGATAGCAGAAGGGGATGTCACAGATATGCTTAACTGTGTTTGTCTTTATAAACCTATCTACAGATAATGAAAAAATTTAGCTCTCTAGTATTCAAAATATTCTATCAAAATTTCTTGGCCAGGCGTGGTAGCTCATAACTGTAATCCCAACACTTTGGGAGTCTGAGACAGGTTAATCACTTGAGGCCAGGAGTTCAAAACCAGCTTGGCCAACATGGCGAAACCCCATCTCTACTAAAAATACAAAAACTAGCCAGGCATGGTGGCATGTGCCTATATCCCAGCAACTCAGGAGGCTGAGGCAGGAGAATCGCTTGAATCTGGAAGGTGGAGGCTGCAGTGAGCCAAGATAAAGCCACCACACTCCAGCCTGAGCAACAGAGCAAGACTCTGTCTCAGGAAAACAAAAAAATTCCTTATCTGTTCTTACAGTCACTTTAGAAAAGGAGATAAACAGCAAGGTTTATTATCTAGGTTTAACGAAAAACAAAGCACAGAGGAGGGAAGAGGTATCTAAAGTGATACAACAAAGCAGTAAAAAAGTGAAAATAACAAAGCGCTCTCTATCCAGAGGCTTCTCAGCTATAACATATAACATTAAGATTGCTTTGGCCAGGTGTCTTCGCTCACGCCTGTAATCCCAGCACTTTGGGAGGCCAAGGTGGGTGGATCACCTGAGGTTAGGAGTTTGAGACCAGCCTGGCCAAGATAGTAAAACCCTATCTCTACTAAAAATACAAAAATTAGCCAGGCATGGTGATGCACACCTGTAATCCCAGCTACTAGGAAGACTGAAGCAGAAGAATCGTTTGAACCTGGGTGTCAGAGGTTG